AGAGATGTCACTGTGATAGAATCAGAAACATGGGATTTGAACAAGTCTCAATCCAACTATGGTATAGTGTTAACACATGAGTTAACTTTTGAAAATATTTCAGGCTTTAAAGGAGATTCTGAGTCTGAAGATGAGTCAGATTATGAAGGTGACTATGATGTCGAAGAAGAGTCTGAAGGTGAATCTGACTCTGAAGGTGAATTTGATTCTGATCTAGATTCGGATGATGGTCAAGACTCTGGTGGTAATCAAGCCTCTGAAGGTGGTTAAAGCTTTGAAGGTAGTCTAGTGTCTGATACTATTCCAACATCTGAAGAAGATTCTGAACAAATTCAGAGACCACAAAGAATCATACAAATACCAAGAAGATTTGCAGAGTTCGACATGCTGCGAGATACTGAGATAGACTCTAAAGTGGAAGTTCTTCAGTGTGTCATTTTGGTAGACTTTAAACCAGTGAGTACTGAAGAATCTCTTAAGAAGAAAGGGTGACTGAAGGCTATGAAAGAAGAACTTGAGGCTATAGAAAGAAACAAGACATAATAGCTAGAGGATTTAGAAATTTGGTTTAGACTACTTTGAAATGTTTGCTTCTATAGCTAGACAAGAAACAATTAGAATGGTGATTGTTATAGCTGCGAATAGGAATTGGTCTCTAATGCATTTAGATGTAAAATATGCATTTCTGAATGGACCTTTACAAGAGGAAGTTTATGTATCCCAACCTCCTAGATTTATGGAAAAGAATAAGGAAGGGATGGTGTACAAGTTGCATAAAGCATTGTATGGACTGAAACAAGCTTCTATAGCCTGGAATTTGAAAATTGATTCATTTTTCAAGCTTCAAGGATTCAGAAAATGTGGAATAGAGTATGGTGTTTATGTTTACCATACATCTGATAGCAATATGATTCTGGTGTGTCTCTATGTTGATGACATATTGCTAACAGGGAGCTGTTCAAATGAGATAGCTAAGTTCAAGTAGGTATTGATGAATGAGTTTGAGAAGACTGATCTAGGAAATATGACATATTTTTTAGGGATGGGGATTTTGTACTCTGATAAGGGTATAATATTGCATCAACTAAAGTATGAACTTGAGCTTCTAAAGAGACTTGAGCTAATGAATTGCAAGTTTGCAATCACACCCACTAAAATAAATCACAAGCTAGATTATGATGTTGAGGGTGAGAATGTAGATGCTACTACTTTCAAATAGTTGGTAGGCTCATTGAGATATCTCTATAATACTAGACATTATATTTGTTATGCATTTGAAATGGTGAGTAGGTTTATGAACAAAGCAAGGTGGTCACATTACCAAACTACTGTCAAGATACTGAGGTATATTAAATGGACTCTATGGTATTGAGTTTTGTTCCCCTCTGATCTGAATCTAATTCATAGCTGATGTGTTATTCAAACTTTGATTGGCATAGATACAAAGTTGACAAAAGAAGTACTTCTGGATATTTCTTCAAAGTATCTAGGAGGGCCTATTTCTTAGTGCTCTAAAAAGCAACCAATTGTTGCATTGTCAACTAGTGAAGCTGAGTTCATTGCTGGCACTTTTTTTTGTTGTCAAGCTGTATGGATTCTAAACTTGTTGCAGAATTTGAAGATCAAGGTGAACATGCCTGTGAAGTTGATGATTGACAACAAATCAGCTATAAGCCTTGCTAAGAATCCAGTGTTGCATGGAAGAAACAAGCCTACTGATACGAAGTTCTATTTTTTGAGAAATTAGGTTCAAAATAGAGTGCTTGAAATTATGCATTGTAGCACTCAGAAGCAACTGACAGATGTGCTGACTAAAGCAATCAAGATTGAACATTTTATCCACTTAATGGATGAAATTGATGTTCTTGATTATAGTTGTAACACCCTTTTCTACCCCACAAATATAATGACAAATCAATCATATTTATCAGAGTAAAATATTGAACACAATAAAATCCTCTCAAAAGGGGGCACATTTCTCAATAATTCAAATATAGTCAATGCTCCGTAAACAACGGGTTTGCCCAAAATTACTCAAATATATTACTTAAAAGGCAGCGAAACTCAAAAATGCAAAAATCCAAAGTTTTCCTTGCGTAGTAACTTAATCAAAATAATAATAATCAATAAAACATGGTTCAACTCAAAAGACCCCAACCCGATGTTACACTATCAGAGCAAGACCCTCTAAGTCAACCACAATGGCCAACGACATAAAAACTTCAAAAAGTCCTCGACGGCATCCACGGCTAAACCTGGTCATCTGCACGTTATCCATGTTGAGGCAACATTCAAACAGGGAAGGTGAGTAAAACGATTCATAATAAACAATATAGGAATCAATATATAAAACAACGTCATTTTCATATTCAACATCATCATAATCATCAAGGAACATCAAAGGCCACAACATTATAAATTACACCAAATTGTCAAATAAATGCAAATGCAACAAGATTCATGCATGTGGTACCAATCAACAAAATTCGATGGACACTGGGTCATTAACCCTCCATAGATCCACAACAGTAGGATCGATTCTACACGAGAATCGGAGCACAACAAAATACCTCACATCCACACAATGAGACTGAAGCCACAAGAATTAAGGTCCTAGACCGAAGTCCGGAATGCATATGAATGCATGATGCACACGTCAATATCATCCTCATAATAAACTCATTAGGTGCATCATCATTCATCAAAATCATCATAATAATCATGTCATCATAGAATCATCAAAACTCACGAAATCAACATCATAACTCATCATCATTACTCATAGGAATCATCATACAATCATGTATTAATCTCAAAAGAATCATAGTCATACTCATGGTAATTCATCAAAGAAATCACAACATCAAAACATCAAGACATCACTGCACAAGATCAGAATTTGCGAAACTTTGCTACGTTCGCTAGCAAGTTCGTTGTGCGAGTCTGGGACGAATGTTCGCCGTACGAACTCACGATTATAGCAAATCGTTGTTACGCACCAGTAGCAAAACCAACCCAAAAGTCCCTACGATTTCCTTCCCCAATGTCTCAAAAACATTCCTAAATCATTCCTAAGGTATTACGGTGATAAAGACACAAAATTTACGACTTACTAGGCCAATCCCGTATCATATTTACGCCTTCAATTCCCATGAAATCCTACAATTACCACACATTCACTAGAGTTCTCAAAATCATTTACCCTATATGGTTAAAACCTCAACAACAGATTTTGGTCACGAAGGCCTAATTTTCCTTACTCCCAAATCAGCCTCAAACCTATCAGACCATTAGTTCAAATCCCTCAAACTCATTAAACTCACCAGAAAGGCAACAACAATTCAATACTCAAAATTCCTAAACCCTTAAATCGGATTTAAACACATTGAATCACATATTGAAAACAATGAAGACAATACTCCCTATACCTTAATTGCCGACTCTAAGCATTTCTCCTTGATTCTTGGAAACCTCGCGAAGCCTTGCCCCAATCCTCTTCCTCAGAGCTCTGACCTCTATTTCTTCCCTTTTCACGGTCTAACAAGAATGAATCCTAATTCCCTCAAAATTCTTTTTTGTTAAACCTAATTTTGGACCTTTAAAATGGGCTTTCCAATTTCACCCTCACTAACTCCTCCTCAAATGTCCACTTTGCCCTTAAGTCACTTATATTTATTTAAATTAATAATAATACCAATATATTCATATTATATACTATTATTACAATAAATAACTCAAAATCCATAATTCCCAATATTCACACCAACCATCGAAAATCACCAAAAATGCGAATATTCATATTTAAATAAATTAAATAAATATTTCAAGAATTTGGGGGTGTTACAATAGTTCTGAATATGAATTAAGGGATAATATTTGAATGTAATTCAATATTCAATTAACATTTCATTTAAGTGTCATCTAAGTTTAATTTGAAATGCATTTTATTTGATAGTTGAATTTTAGTGTATGTATAAATACTGAATTTCTGTTCGGTTAGAGTAATAGTAAAAAAAAAAAAATCATTTGATAGAAATTAATTACAATTTTCTCTATTCTGTTTCTTCCATCTTCACTATCTTCATCTCCTTCCATTTGTGCACCAACAAATATTTATATCCAGTCCATGCCAAATTTCACTTAATATATGCATTTAACATTTATATTCTTTGATTGGTTTTATTTAACTTTGTATTTACACAACATGTGCAATTACTATTTATATTGGTCTAATGATTTCACATGTACAATTTTAATTGCACATATTAGACCTCATTTTGTCAAATCAGAACAAACCGTCAAATTAAAATTAAATGTTTGAAATCATGTTGACTATGAGAGATAATCACATCGGCAGGAAATCCAGGTCACACAAAGAAGCCAAAGAAAAACATAGCATGAGACAATGTCATGTCAACTTGTTGATTCAAGATGTCTCCATGCTATTGTTCACATTATTGTGAATCTATTCAATTTTGAAGCAGAACATGACATTAGACAGAGTTGATTCAAAATATGTCTCATTCACAGCAATGTAAAAAGAAGAAAATGAAATAATAAATACACTTCAATGTCCTTCAGACATATACATACAAGAGTAGGACCATCTTTCTCATTGCTAAATTTTTTTATCATTAATGACACTGTCATGTCAGATTCACTAGTAAAATGGAGCAAAAATATTGGTAAGCATGGAAGTTTTAATAAACATTCATTGTCCCATTTTTTTTGAAACATTGAGTACATCTCACAAGTGATTTGGCAGATTTAACTATAGCTGCACTCAAAAAACAAATTCCAAACTTAAAAAAAAAGTGGAATTGTTCACAATGTAATTAGGAAGATTAACTAAGGAAAAAAGAAATTAAACAGACTCTTAATTAATCGACAGAACTTCGGTGTTAGCTGAAAATTTTTCCTCGCTAAATCTAACCCTCTCTACGACTACAGCATCGTGCAACAGCGGTAGGAGATTCAAATTCGGTTGAGAGATGAATGTGTCAAGAGGCTAAGGGAAGTACCTGTGATGTGCTTGAATGGTACTGTTGTTGATAAGAATGATGATTATGATTAACCTCTCTTTCATAACTCTTGTCAACAACGATTGTAACGAGAGAATCATCAACTTCATTTCCGTTAAAACCCTTGTTGTTGCTGTTGTTGTTGTTGTTATCTTGCATTTTTCTTCGAAGCTTCTCTTCGGCTTCTTGTAAGAACTTGAATTTCGGAGGAGGTGATGACTTTAATCGATTGAACTCTGCATCGGTTGTTGATTCGAAAAGAGGGTTGAATCCGTGTTGATTATAGGGACTAATATTGATGTTAGGAGTGAAAGTAGGTGTGAAAAAATGTGGAGATGAAATAGGTGTCAAATATGGTGTTTCCACATCTAACAAATCCCCTAAGCTTCTTGAATCCTTTCCACTTTTGTTTTCACATCTAGATTTACTATCTTCCGATTCCAAATCCTCTTTAGATTCTTCAACTATTGTGAACAAAATTCTCGGATGACCTAAAACACCGTCGTCGTGAAGATGATGTTGCATCATGTATTCAGCTTCGACGGAATCTTCACCGTAGGGCTTGAATAGAAACTCTTTGCTAGTCTGTACTTGAGGGTCATGGACAAAATTGTCATTTGTTCTCATTGAAGAACAAAGCTCTGGTGGAGTAAAACCTGTGTGTCTCATAGAACTTGAGGATGATGGCCTTTTCCAACAAAACATATAGAAAATCTCTTTCAAAGGGTTTCCATTTCCATAGTCATTTTCAATCTCTCTATGAATTATCTTTTTCTTCCACCATAGCAAGTAGTAAACTTCAGCTACTAAAGCCAATAAAAGACAACCAAAAATAATGCTAAGACCAAGTCCTACACTACTCAAAGATTTCATCTTTGTTCTCAAATAAAACTTAAAAATCAAAATTTGAATCTAACGACGTTACATACTTCTTGGCCGAACTCCAGATTACCAGGTTGGTCGGTCGCCCTTTCGGTAAGAATGGGAGAGTTAAATCACAATTTTCTTAACCTCCAATGATGTTCATTGGCCAAAATGATTAACATCTAATCTAGTCATGTCAAATAGAGCAATGGAATGCAAGAAAATTGGAAAATGAAAAATTACAACCAAATGAAAAAAAGCTTACTTGGGTAATTAATTGACTTAATCCAAACCCTCTACGCAAAGATTTTGAACTCAAACATGCAAATCTGGATATTCCCTTTGACTAAAACTCAATTTCAATGTAAACCAATACCTCTTAGACATAATAACAAACACCTTGTGAGCAAATTGTAAAAGCTTCTCAAAAACACCAGGGACCATTCAAAAAAAGCTCCTTTTTTCTCTCTTGAAAGCAACACTTGCAAATCATAAGCTTGAAACTTTAGCTTTAGACTTTAACCCCACATCAGATTAGGCACCTCCTTATGGATTTGTCTCATCATTGCCTTCAAAGATAATAGCAACATTTTTTAAAACACCATTGAAAAGAGAAAAATTCTCTCAATGAAAACCACTTTGTGGTGGTGCTAAAAAACCATGAGCAAGAATATAACTATAGAATTGAAGTAAGAGAGAGAGAGTGTGAACAATGAACTTGTCTGGCTTATGGTTGGAGGGTCTCGTCTTTCAAGAGAGACTCACATGGGATATGAAAGAAACGGAAAATGACATGTCAATATATGTCATTACATCAATCATAAAAACAAAATTCTATACAAATTTATCACTCTCGTGCACAAGACTGAATTCGAACTTAAAAACTCTGATTAAACATATTTAGAGTTTGATTCGAATTCAAAAAATTTCTAATTAAATTGAAAAATTTATTATAATGGTAATTATTTGTATAAGATCTTTCATGTAGGGGGGAAGATTTTTCTCCCATAACTCAAGTTGACACTTGTTGTTGTGTTACTAGCTGACAATTTAGGACTGACAATGATTCCATGTGTGAAAGTTTCATATAATGCTTCTTGTTTGTTGAGTTTTAATTATGACTTTTATTGGTTCATGTTTTATTTTTCTTGCATGATTTTTGTTTTGACTAATGAAATTATTTGGAAAGGAAGCAACATTGCTATTGCTTCATTTGATTTAGGAGATCATCGTTATCTAAAAATAAACAGGATTGCTATGTTGACACCCATCTTTACACCCTACACCTCAATTACTGTTCACAAATACTTGAACAAATTCCCCAGAACATGGTTAATAGTGTGTATTTTATTGGTTAATGAAGTAGTGAAAGTGGTTAATAAATTATAGGTAAAATAATTGGTTAATAATGTAGATTTTTGTGGTTAATGCAACTGTGAAGTTGGTTAATGCGCAATCTTATATTTGTGTTATAAAATAAATTTTAAAAATAAAACTTTTTTAAAAAAAAATTAATATTTTAAAAAAATATATTATTTTAATAAAAAAAACACTGTTCACCGTATAAATACGGTGAATAGTGCATACGGTGTAAGTATTGGGTGTAGGAAATGGTGTAGGAATAGCATTTTTCAAAAATAAATCATATGGTGGGAGAATGTGTCTTCAAGTCATTAATTAATAACATTATAGTTAATTATTTAATACTAACTAGGGGTTTTGTAATAGATATGTTTATAGTTAAATCATTTGTATTTGGGAGAGTTCTATATTTTTTTCTCAAAGATTCTTGTGTTTTTTAATTACATATATTTTTTGGGTTGGATAAATGTCGATCAATATTGATCTAATTTATAGGCTTAATTTAATAAGGGATATTCTACATGTAACACCCTATTTCTATACCTCTAAATAATCAAATGAATCACTTAGGCGCGAATTCAAAATGTCATCAGAGTATTATTTAAAATACGGTATAAATGGAACATGTCACATTATGCTTGAATTAAAACACATACAACACCTGCTCATAATAGACATGCAACAATGGGCAACAAACACATCAGAGGATCTTAGTCCTTATACAAATATTTAGAATAAAAGCGGAAAATCTAAACATTTGAATCACAACCGACATGTATTCACATATATACATATTCACATCATTCCATGTAATTCATCAAAAACATTCATGTTTACAAAACATGCAACACCAATAATACATATACAAATGTATTCATCAAAAATAGCCCAAAGCTTCCTATGCTACCTGGTGTTACATATCAGAGCCATCTGACCAAAACTAATGAAGACGTGCTTTACAAAAAGGGGATCACCAGCACCTAATCTGCAATGCCTCATAGAGCATCATAAAACAGCAGAAGGGTGAGAAACAATATCATAATATTCAATGCATAAATCATATATATACATATCATTAGTTACGCATCTTCCGCATTCACACCACAACTCACCTCAATCATCCTATACACCTATATATATACATATTCTCAAGTATACTCACTCATGCCATTATCACCATTCGCATTAATTCACATAAACATACACATACATGTTTATATCATCACCAATTCACATAAACATCCACATACATGTTTATTTCACCAATGCATCATATAAAAATGATAATGCAACTCATAGAGACCGACTCATGACTCTATGCAGATGCAAATGCGGTACCGACTCAATTCAGCAGGTTCAATTGAAGAACCAAAATGGAACCATCGCTCGTTACCGAAGTAACTCCCCGTAGGGCCTACGATGTTCACCCATCGCTCACACCCCACATGGGCACACGATGTTTCAGGATTGCTCACACCCCACATGGGCACACAATCCGATTCCTCACACCCACATAGGCACACAATCGTTATGCAGATTCTACGCGGAATCAAATATAACCATCGCACCATACGAGGTTCTGCAGATCCTACACGGGATCAATTAACACAAATGCATATCATAATGCTTCACATGCAACCATGACTCAATCAACTATAAACCATCGCTCCCACGAGGTTCTGCAGATCCTACGCGGGATCAATTAACACAAAATGCATACATATTTGCAAATATATTATCATGCATTCTTCACATTCATCACAATTACCATGCATTTTTATTCAATTCAAACGATGCATACATTTGCCCAAAGGCCACGATTCACAATCGATTCATACACTAGGATTCACGCCATACGGCTACCCATAGCATAACATATCACAACAGTACACAAATCATCCATTCAGATAAGGATTAACGTAACCGAAACAAGCAATCAACATTGGAAAAGAAAACACAGGAACAGGAAAAATGCTGTCACATTCGCTGACCTTCGCCTGGCGAAGCTTCTGGCGAATGCTCGCTACCTCCTTCGCCTGGCGAACTCGCTAGCGAAGGCTACTGGAAGTATTCGCTACCACTCGCTGGATTCATTCGCTTGGCGAACCCTCGCCATTAGCCTTCGCCCGGCGAACTTGCCAACGAAGACTGAATTTGGCTATTGACTTGGTTCGCTGATCACTCGCTAGGCTTCACCCGGCAAAGCTTCGCTGCCACTCGCCTGGCGAACTTGCAAACTCAAAAATCCCTAACTGTCCAAAAATTCCGAAACTCACCGAATCTAACCGATTCTATTCCAACTCGTCTCAGCAACACCATCCAACATCCCTCAACTTAAACTTTACCACTTATTCTCATTTTCAACCGTTTAAAACTCGATTCTACCGATTAAATCAAATTCAACCTAGAAATGGAAAGTGTAGAAAACTACCAAACAATCCACACAACACATACATGATCATACATATGGATAGAATAATAAAGTTTCACACCCTTACCCGATTAATCGAAAGCTTAGATGTTGGTTCTTGATGATTCTAGGTTTTGCTTTTCTTCCTCCTCTTTCTCTTCTCTTTCTCTTGTTCTTTCTCTCTAACTCTCTTTTCTTTCCTTTCTTTCTATTTCCTCTCTATTTCCTCTTATACTTTTCCCCTCAATTCTATTTCTACCAAAAGACCAAAATACCCTCCAATCTAAATTTTACCCGAAATTCTCCGAAATGGTAAAATATTAAAACATTACTAAATTAACACACAAAATTGACAAGTAACACAATTATTACTCAATTTAAATAGCACACTCAATAAAATGAAATAATTGAAATCTGGGCGTTACAAATCTCTCCCACTTTAGAAATTTTCGTCCTCGAAAATATTACCTGATTCAAACAAGTCCGGATACGAATCTCGCATCCCACTTTCCAATTCCCAAGTCATATTGCCTTCAGAAGCGCCTCCCCACGCTACCTTCACAAGCGCAATATCCTTGCCTCTAAGTTTCTTAACTTCTCGATCCAAAATCCTCACTGGTACAACTTCTACCGTAAGGTTATCTCTCACCTCAACCTCGTCCATAGGAACAACATGTGACAGATACGGAACATACTTTCGAAGTTGTGAAACATGGAACACATCATGCAAATTCGAAAGATTCGGAGGCAACGCCACACGATAAGCCACAACACCCACTCGTGCAGTAATCTGATAAGGACCAATAAAACGAGAAGTCAACTTCTTCGACTTCAAAGCACGACCCACACCCGTAACTGGTGTAACTCTCAAAAACACATGGTCGCCTTCTTGAAATTCAAGATCTTTCCTTCTCTTGTCATGGTAGCTCTTTTGTCTATTCTGAGAAGCCCTCATCTTCTTCCGAATAAACTTCACTTTCTCCGTAGTTTGTTGTACCAACTCCGGACCAACTACCGACCTCTCACCGGTTTCATGCCAACATAAAGGTGTTCGACATCTCCGGCCATACAAAGCCTCAAATGGTGCCATACCAATACTTACATGAAAACTATTATTATAGGTGAACTCAATCAATGCCAACTAAATATCCCATGCACCACCTTGTTCTAGCATACAAGCACGCATCAAGTCTTCCAATGATTGAATTGTCCTCTCGGTTTGACTGTCTGTCTGAGG